TATATGTATATATAAAATATTTATATGTAGAGAAGGAAATTAAAACGATGCTATCGTTTAAATAGGACGGGAAGAAACGGGTTTAAGAAAAAAATTTTAATATTTATAATATTTTTATTTATAAGATATTTATTTATAAAATTATTTGAAATTTATTTATAGAAAGTTTAATATATTCTTTTATAGAATTATGCATTTTTAAGTAGATGAGCTTGATAACTTTTTGCAGCACATGGAACCTTTATCGGAAATCTACGTTTGGAAGCACATAAACCAACTCAGTTACCAATTGACAGTACATTTCACTTTGGGGCATCTACTCGATATTACATAATAAGAGAAAGACCTCAAACTGGTGCCCGACCTATTATCGAAGAATTGGAGAAATTATCTGAAGATATGGACGCTGGTGGTTTGCTGGGATTGCCAGAAACAGAAACAGAATTAGATGTATGTATCGAATATGTGATATATTAAATTGTTAAAACATCTAAATTTTCTGCTAAATGTGACTCAGTCTATTGTAATTTTTCAGAATTTAACAGAATTTAACACAGCTCATAATCGACGGATCTCTATGCTTGGCATAACAGATGACGAAATGCATAAACCAACGCGTAAACGAAAGAAAAAGGGAATCACCTTCAATGATGACGAAGAAGTAATCAATCCGGAAGATGTTGATCCATCAGTTGGAAGATTTCGTAATCTTGTACAAACGACAGTTGTTCCTAGTAAGGTGAGCCATTTGCAAGGTTCTCAGGAGAAATAATTGCATGATTACAAAATTGCTTGATTTAATATTAAATAACAATTAAATAACTATAACTAGCTGTAATTATTTAATTTCATATTAAAGGAATATGTTTCATAATTACAGAGAATGCGTATGGAAGGTGGTCTTATATCCTTGGCGGAAGATCACAATCCTCTGAAACATATGCAACCCACGTCTACCACTCCACAACTCTATCACGATTTACCTCCCGAGCAGTTTACACCATCATCGATGTCTTCGATAAATCCGTTTTCTACGGCTCTTACATCGCGGCTTGGCATCGCGCTACCTAATCCGGCACCCGAGGTGGAGATGACGCCGAATCAGATACAGACGGAAGTGCCGCATGTACAAGAGCACATACCAGGTACGACGGAGCCGCGAGTAATGGAACCGAAGAAGAAGAAATACGCCAAAGAGGCATGGCCTGGGAAAAAACCGATACCAACGCTGCTTGTATAATAGGATGAATTACTCATATGTATAATAACATGTACATTATAATATA